AGGGAGGGTTGCCCAGCAAAGCCCTAAGAAGGCATTTGGGAAGGTCCTACAGAAAAGGAATACTCACAGGAAGCCCCCGTGGTCCTCGCGGTCCCACCTCTCCTGGTGGCCCCTGTTGGCCCTGTTATAAGGAAGGCAGGTAGAGAAACAGTTAACATTCCTAATCCTTTGCTTAGTGATTGCAATGGGCTATAACAGGTAAAAAGGTAACTTATGGTATCTTACCGGTTTGCCTGAATTCCCCAATTGACCAGGCTTCCCTGGAGCACCTGTGTTACCCTAAAGGTAAAATGCAACATAATTCAGACAGCAACTAAGCAGAATCATCAGCCTGTCTCACCCAGGCCAGGTATTTCTTACACCTAAATAGCATTAATTTCTCGATTTCACCTTGAGAATGTGGAAGGACATAAAATCTCTTTTTTGGTGGATACATCAAAGATTTTTTTTTTTACTTTCAGAGTGATGTTTTATTATTCCCAGGAGTATAGGAAAGGTGTCAAAAATGTCAAAAAATGAAGGTCAAATGTCAAAAAATAAAGGTCTTTAGCCTGACAAGAATATGACAGAATTTTTCTTTCTTCTCTATATTATATATGCCTTTCCTTTATCATTTTCACCTCCAATACACTTCTTTGAGCCCTTTTACCTGACACTGACAATATTAAAAGTATAAAGAATCATGTCAACATGAGGATGTGCTGTTGAGAAAACCCTGCCAACAAGCTCCAGGCAAAGCACATATCTGAGGAGCCCGTCTCCACCACCAGTCTCTCAACGCCCACTTATTAGGGGACATCTCTGCCCAAGATGCCATGGCCCATTATGCTTGGACGGCTGTAGCTGTATAATCTAATAGTGACCAATTATTACGTTATTCACATTTTATCTATTTTATTTAAGGTAAGGCTATATTGTATCCTTTTCATTGTTTCTTTCACCTATTGGTTTTAATTGCTAGAATATAAGCACTAGTTGATCAGTGTGTGAACAAGATGCCTAATATCTTTTTAGTTTAAGCTACATCTTAATAACATTCGCTGACATAATTTTTATGGCTTAAAAATACCTTCCTTATTTTAAGTGGTAAAAAACAATAAAACTTCCTCTGTTTTATCCTGGCAAAAGATGGCACTTTTAAGAAGGAAGTCTAATCAGCAATGCTTTGTCAAAATATTCTTCCTGCAGCTGGGGAAGACTTTGGTATTCAAAGACACAGAGCCCTTTTGATTTCATTTCTCCTTAGGATCAAATATAAAATAAGAGGCAGGTTGGACATCTTAAAAATGATAAATAAAATATATTAGTAAAAGAATAAAGAAATGGATAAAAGTATTAATTCAAAAGTTTTAATCTTTTACCTTTTCACCAGCAACACCCTTTGCACCAGGAATTCCAGGCACACCCTAAAAGAATGCACACAGAGCCTGGGTTTAATCACCTCAACTGAGAATCTGTGAATTGTCAAGTCCACTGCACACTTCCAGGGGCTAAGGTGATCAGGACAACCTCAAAGCTTTAGTCTGAGGACGGTTCTTCCTAGTTCTCCATCTCAGAATAGTTGGGTATAGAAAGAACTACCAACAGTTTAGAAGGTATGATTTTACTGTATGTGGCTTGTTAAGTCTGAACACCCTTAAAGCAAATCTTACCTTTAAACTAAAGTTATTTTTCAAGGATGAACTTCCAAATTACAATCCAGTACCATTTTTAGGTCAATAGGAGCTCTTACCAGCATGATTTAATATACAGAATAACAAAACAAGAACCTATCGAAAACCCAGAACTTAAGTAAAAAAAAAAAAAAAGAAAAAGATTGGCAGGAGAATGCTGGGTCTCTAACTAAGATCCGATACTATTGGGAGTCCTATTATTCTCTCAATGATTATTTTAAAAGTGTTAGATAATAAACTGGAGACCAGTCCTCAGTATTACCAAGTCTTTCTTATTAACTTGAAACATTTGCCTCCAAAGAGCCAAGAACACATATAGTATAAGGCACATGAACTTCCAGCCACATTAATTGAGGGAAACACCAATTTGAATAATTCAAAATAGTATGTAATAAAAAAATGATAGCTTATCTCTCATATTGTTCCTGAGCATACACTCAGCCTTCTTACAGCTCAACCCTGTTAACAAGACCTTCAGAACTGGTTAAAAGTAAGAGAAAGTCTATGACCCTGGCCCACAAATCAGGGTTAGTGAAAAGATATAAAGAAGATTGAGTGAACCTAAGAGAGGAGAGAGATGCACAATGTAAAATTAAAGCTTAGTATATTATTAGTGAAATAACTGATTACTAAGAGAAAAAGTACAAAAATGTAAATATAAAATTAAAGCATTATATCTTCCCCAGAATGTATCAAATTATTTAACATTTTTCTACCATAAATGTATATCTATGTATATCAAACAGTATGTATATAAACCAGTAACCATTTAAAGAATTAAATACTTACAGGAAACCCCTGCAATCCTGCATCACCAGGAGGCCCAGGTTTCCCTGGATCACCCTGAAAAAAAAGTTTTTATCATATCCTTGAACCTATATGAGCTGTTGTATTTCTTTTAAGAAAAGGGTCACAGGGCTTCTAAGTAAAAGGGTTACACCTACCACTGACCTTACATGCACTTTTATAATGTGACCCAGTTCAGGGCAGGGGATAAGAGTAGGGTAGGACTTAGGACATAAATTCAATCAAAATACACAATTTCTTTCAGCCTACTGGCATCAACAGGACAATTTTACTGAGTTCCTAAAACCAAGCAAACAAACGTGCTATAATAAGCATTTTGAATTGACACTTGATTAAAAAAATAAAAAGAGGAGAAAAGCCCAAAGGAGCTAACTAAATCTCCCAGTAACGTAGCAGTGGAAATCCTGTACTGGGTTGGCCAGGACAGAGGTGGCCCTATTTACTCTTGGACGGAATCACACAGCTACCTTTGTCCCGGGTATTCCAGGTATCCCATCATGGCCATCCACACCTGGCAAGCCCTAAAGAAACACAAAGAAACACACTGTCTCTTAGAAACAGTCACATTCTTTCCCCCCTCATTATTTTCTACAGTTCAATTACAAGTTAATCATCACTTTGAAAAATGTGCTTGATAACTACCACTCAGGACGTACCGTGTCTCCTTTAGACCCAGGGACGCCAGGAATTCCTCTAGGACCTTGAGCCCCCTGCAGAGCAGAAAGGAAAGGATGGACAAGACACACTCAATTTATCACACTATTTAGGAGACATCAAAAAGATAAGCGTAATCAGCAGAAGACACTGAAAAGCATGATGCTTGTCGTGATTAACACTAATTTGAACTCACTCTGTCTCCTTTGGGACCTGCTTCTCCTGGAGCACCTCGCTGTCCTTGGTCACCCTGTATGAAAATAAAATTGTGTTAATATAAGCAAACGTTACTTATGGATAGACTTTGGATATTATAGAACACCATCCACATTTCCTTTCTATTGCTTTTTCATCCCAATGGCTTTGTTCTATCATGGATGCCTAGTTCAAGAAATCTTTTTATAAAAATCATGTTGTCTTAAAAAATATTGCCAAAGGGATCTTTGAGAGTTACATTCTTTTCATTTCATCTTAAGTGCATAATGCTTCTGTGATCTTTGGATGTATAGATACGAGAAAATTAAGGTCCATACTGCAGGCAACCTTGACTTTGGTAACTATGTCTACATATCGGCTATTCTCATAGACTATCGTAATGGGTTGAGGTTTGGATTAGTTGTCCATCTTTCCTCCATACTATTTAATTCCCTAGTCAATAATAATGGTGTCTGTCAAAATTATCAAGCTAATGTTGATGTACGACGGTATAGGATGTGTCTTCCCAAAATACAGCTTTAGTTGAATTGTTTACTCTAAAACCTCAAATGGCTTCCCATTGCTTCTGGATCAGTTCCTATTGCTCAGATTGGCATCAAACACTCTCTACTTGATTCACTTTCATTTTCTCAACAGAAACTTTCCACTCCAGGCAGCAATAGCTCCGATGACACACTCCCATCAGCACCAGCAGTGCCTCTTCTGACCTGTATACCCTGCTATTTCCCATACCAACCTTCCTGTAAGGTCCTCTTGCTTGGGTTACCTCTATCATATGCTCTAGTACTTGGCCTTATAATGTATAGGCTAGTTACATTCTGTCATACCCACTGGACCCTAGGACCTTGATATTGGACATATTATTTTACTAATACCTTTTCTACTTTTTATGTTGTATAGATGATTATTAATGAATGGATTTTTTGATTATTTACTTTCAGAAAAGGTGTGAGGCAGCCTACAATAATGACACATGTATATATGGCAGTCAAAACATGGAATAATGAGACCAGAAATCATAGCAAAAGAAAAGGATAGAACTACCCTGGAACTTGAAATTAGATAGTTACTGTGACTATAAGCATCCTGGCAACCAAAAAAAGGGAAACACAGCAAACATACTAACTTAACAATTTAACTTCATCTCTGAGAAAAACGAAACCTATATGAAGTCAGAAAAACATTTCTCTGTACCCAAAAAAGAGATGCTTTTCTTAATTAAAAAAAATTAATAAATATAAAAATTATTGCTCATTTTTCCACTTCAGTTATTCACATGTAAAAGACACTTGCATGCACATATATACATAGTAAAAAATTAAAATCTATCATTAATCATTGCTAAAAAAACCTCTATCATTGGGTCTTGGAAAAGTACTTACAGGTGCACCAGGAATGCCTCGAGGCCCAGGTTCTCCATCTAAGCCCCGAGCACCCTGCAAAAAAACAAGACGAAGGAATGAAATTGAAATCAATCATGCATCGTGAAGGGCACATAAGTCTTTTTAAGAAATTTTAATAGCTAGATAAAAAGGAGGTTCTGTGTTTGCAATATATACTCTATTCATCAGCGAACCCCAAGGAATAGTTAATAAGACATGTGAAATATGAAAACACTAAGTTACATCTTCTCATCCCACCAAAAGTACTTACACCCAATCTTTGATACCACTCTACATGTTTTAAGTTAATACTCCATCCATTCTAGTTGATCTAGTCTCTCCAAAAAATTCATCCTACCAAGTGATGATGGCATGAGAGCTATGAAGCTTTATTAAATATAATTATCTTGAGATTATCTCTGACTTGGCTATATATTATATACATCACCTCCTTATTTTCATTATAAGAATCAAAATGTGATTTTGAAACAAAAATATGGTAATTTTTGGTGCTCTCTATGTATGCTACATGAGAAAACACAACCCACTTCTTTAAATATTTTTCTCTTCCACTAAGTGAATGAGAAGGCAAAAAAGCAACTGAAGGGAACAGGCCATCTCTTAATGAATAGGGTTGAAATGGGGAGATGATAAAATAGATGGAAAACAGTCAAAAGAGTACTGGATAGATGTCAGGCCAAGAAAAGCAGGTGGACAGTGTCTGTAGTAAGAATTAAAAATTCAAAAACCTTTGATAGAAGGTTCAGACATAGGTAGAATCAAAGAAAGAACACAAGTGAAGCAGAGGCACCACAGAGCCTTAGGATTCTTTAATCTCTGAAAACCAGAACAGAGCAGAAGGCATTTGACAGTCACCAGGGAAGAAGGGGTTTGGAAGACCTGAAAAAGACCTTGAATTCGTCATTCACCCTGTGTTGTGAGAGCACACCCAGCCTTTGCATTATAGAAATGGCTTTGATACACTTTCTCCCTCTCTCTCTCTCTCTCTCTTAAAGCTGTTCAGCAGGGGCTCAGATCCAAACTGCTGTTACTAGGTAACCACTCCACGAGTCTGAGTTCATGAGAAGAGCTCTTATTATTATTATTATTGAAAGCAATTTGACAGAAATCAGAGGAAATGAGAAATTTTGAAAAATACCAAGCAGAAAATTACCTCAAATAAAGAGCATATCAAGAACAGTAATTGGTTTCAAAGTGAGGGGTCACATACATTAGGAGGTGCTTTAAACCCAGAAAAAGCAAAGGCCTAGGTATCAGCAACTTTACAGTAAATGGTATTTATTACTTAATAACAGAAGAGATACACACAGAATGTTACTTAAGATAACATGAATGTAGAAATATGAAACTGTTTTTTTAAAGTACAGCGTTTTCAGGAAAGAAATATTCTAGAGAAAATAGAAGAGGTAAGCAGGCAGACAAAGAAAGAGGCTAAAAAAAATGAAGTTGAGGAAATTATCCACAAAATCATTCTTTCAATTTACAAAGATGTGCATCTCTTTTAAAAAACATTTAATTTTATTTATTGAGCACCTACAAAGTGCAAGTTGTTCTTGTTTAGTTGTTAATAAAAGGTTCTGTGCTTCTGTGGGGAATGACATAAATTTTCCATAGACGTTCTGAAGAGAATGGGGCGAGAGTCAGAAGTGGTGGTAGAAAAAGTGTGTTTTTGTTTGTTTGGTTTTTTCTGGAGCCTACAAATAGGGTTTCCTAGCATAGTTTCTAGAAGTGGTAACCATTTTCTTACTATCTGGTGGAGAAGCTAGACACACCCCTACACACACACACACAGGCATGCATATAGAGCATGCAAAACATTTCAGAGCACATGAACTTTCAGGTCTCCACTGTTTTTGCTTATGCTGTTCACTCAGCCAAGCACTCCCTGACCTCCATCCTCCATAAACGGCAACACCTCATCCTTAGGCCTGACATCCTTTTAATGCCACCTCTTGCATGAGCCCTCCCAGCGCCTACCAAGGCTGGCCATTCCATCTTCACGCCCTCATGCCACTTGCCCTCAAGTGTATGGCTTTCTTGTTTGCACTGTAATTAGCTATCTCTGTTTTTTTCCTCCACAAATAACAAACTTGCTGAAGGCCTTATTTCTCTTTGACTCACCCCAGCATCTCACAGTGTCTTGCTATATAAATACTAGGAAAGTCTGGTCTCGGAGACCAGGCTAAGAACAGGTTGGTGAACTCCAGCCACAACAAGTGTTGAAGGAAAAGCTCAGTGATCAGTTTGGCAGGAGAGCCATTGATGGCGCTAGTGTCCTTGTGGGTATCCTGCGTTCCCTAACCTCTCCCTTTCCAGCCGTCCCTGTCTTAGCCTTGCTCTCCAGGTATTGTGTCAGTGCTATCAGTATTAACTATGGATAATGCTAAAGAGATAAATATAGTAGCCCTGTTTACTCCTATTTACTGTCTAAATATATATAATGCGTGACAAGTAACGTACATGCTACTCATTTCTATCATCGATGTTTATAACAGAAATGTGAGAACCTAATCTACGAAGTACCAAATAAAAAATAAAAGTGCTGCTGAAGATAAGAAGATATTTTTAAATGGCCCAAAGTTTAAACATTTATACATTTTGGTGTCGTATCATCATCACCATCTTACTTTTTCCCCTTTGGCCCCAATTATGCCGGTGATGCCTCTCAATCCTTGAGCTCCCTGGAAATGTAAAAGAGAAAAGTGGATTACTGTAGTTGGAGTACACATTTGTTTATCTCATCACAAAAGATGATCTGGAAGAAGGATGTTATCCTAATAAAGGTAACACTAAGAAATAGTGACATTACATAGACGAACTTTTCAAAATTCTGAAGACTTACACAAACCCGGAGTTGGAACAATTACTGATTGAAATAACGTTAACTCGTATACAGACTACACTGCTATTCTTACCTCCTCCATGGTTTGTAACTCTGTTACATGTAACATGGTTGTGATTTTAGACCTTTAAATAATTTAAATAATTATTTTCTCCCCAATGTACGCCATCAAAAACAATTAGGTTCCCAGATTAACTGACAAAAGCTTATGAACTATAAATGGAGCTGGAGCCTCCACCAACTACTTGTAGTCACTATTCATTATACCGTTTCTATAATACAGGCATTCTCAACTCGTTTGGGGCAGTAGGAACCCATCTCACCTAATCTCAGGCACAGAAGTGGGTAATCCTAGAAATGAGGGTGCGGGGTGTGATTTCTAGCATCGCATTCAATACTGAAATGTCACCCTGTTTGACTCTCTGGCCCCACCCCTGCAGGGCTCCAAAACTGGATCCTGTGAAGGGTGAGCCTACAAGCTATCTTGGGAGCTGCAGACTCCATCAGGAAAATGGGGTAGCTACTTTTGCACAGCTTACTCACTGTCCACTGTAATTGGCTTAAGATAAAGGATTAATAGCTCTAAGCCAGCTATTTCCTTGTGTTCTCACTTGGAAAAATTGGGAGCAATTCTACGGCCAACTCTGCATCCAGGTCAGTCACAAAGTCAGTGTAGCTCAGTTGGGAAAGACCTGAAGTACACATGGGCAGCATGCTGCAGCTTAGGCTATCCACTTATGATATAATGTGAGATGTGGTCATATCAAATTAAAACTGCTCTTTTTGAAGGCAATTCTACAAAAAGAATTCCAGAAATATTTGAGTCATAGTAGTGAGGTGACACTACCATGCATTATCTCTCAAGGTGACTACTTTGAAGGGCAGAGCTTGTATAGAAATATTCCAAAAAGTGTTTTTTTTTTAATTTGTGTTACTTTATAGATGCACATTTAAAAAAGTGAAAATCTATGCATTCTACAGAAACATTTTGGCATATCCACTCCCAAACAGCAGAGGATCAGCAAGCACTAATGATATCCCCTGCTGAACCACTTGAGCCATGTAGCACCCAACAGAGATCCCTAACCCATTAAAATGGATCCTTCTTGCAAAATCCTGTTCTGAGAATCTTTGGGGATGGCTTTAAAAATAACTTTTTAAGTCCCTCCCAAATTTTCATCAGATCAAAACAAGCGTATGTCTCTTACACTTTTCATCTCTATCTTCCACCTGCAAGATAGAGTCTACCTCCTCATTGTCTCACATTAAAGGCTCAGAGAAGGCAAGTTTCTGGAACTTGGACTCCTCCACATACTCTTCAAGTTCTCACGTGACTTAAAAGCAGATGCCGTTTCTTACAGATTCTCTGACTCCTTTAGCTTGATGTCCCGTAAGCTCTGGTAAGCACTTATCTGCACAGCTCCCTGAACCCAGTGTAAAAAGCCCAGCTATGCAGGGAGAGCAGAGCAGGTGAAGGAAGGGTGGTCCCATGTTTGTCTCCCCTAACTCCATAGTTTCTGAGAACAGAACCCCGAGTTGTCTTTTACGTAGCCCATATCTTGGCTAGCTGTGGGGTTCAATGAATATTCAGAAATTATGATTTCCACTATTGTTATTACTCGTGAGAAGAAAAAAAGGTATACCAATTTCACTTTCATATACGAAAGTAATGTAAATTCTGATTTAACAAACATTTTAAATTGAAGTATAATGATGTCCCCAATTACCTCACTGTGTATATTATTGCAGCAATTTGCCAAAGCACAACAGACCAACTTTTTATTAAAACACATGATTATGAGTAATTAAGAATGGTCTCATTATAATGATTACATGTTGGCTGGCATAAGCTACATTAAATTCAGCAGATGATATACCTATTTCATATTCAGGATGCACAAAATTTTCTCATTATATCATGTGATAGTGCCATAGAACATAAATACATATATAGACCTTTTGTGGTCAATATTTTATTTCAGATTGCCTAGCCTTGAACTCTAGTAAGTGAAAGTATGTAATTATAGGTAGAATTTTCCTGTTAAAATAGTGCTTGAATGCACAATGGGGACCTTCTCCAAGGATGAAAAACATGACAATCTCCCAATGCTGCCTTGGTGGAAAAAAAAGAGAATATCAGGTTAATGTAACACTATGAATCCAAATGCTAAATAAAAAACATTCCAAATGTCTTGAAAGAAAGAATTTGGCATGTCCTAGTTAAATGCTTCTTTTAAAATACTTTACTGGAGGTCCTGGAGATCCAACTTCTCCTGGTACACCCTGGTCTCCTTCTTCACCCTAAACAGCAACAGAAACGCGCACCAAATGTTATTCCAGCAAAACAACATAGAAATAGACTCTGTCTACATCAGCACATTTTAAACACCCTTGGCATCCCCCGAATTATTCTATTATACTCTCAAAAATTATTTTACGAGTAATCCATGTTAGTTGTAAAACTATTCAGAAAATACAGAGATGTATATGAATAAAATCATCCAAATTACACCTTCCAATTATAAATACCAGTCACATTTTAGACGATTTTTCTAAAGAAAGGGAAGCAGGAGGGAAAAAGAGAGAAAGGACAATTACACATTCATGTTCCAAGGATCTATGTGTATTGAGGAGGTATTTTATAAAAAGTGATCATACTATACAAACTTTTCCATAAACTATAGTATTATTTAATCATGATTTTCATTTTTTAACTTTCTTATAATTTTTGTAATGTATACAACTTTTTTAATGTATTTAAATTAGTCTTTTCTTTCATGACTTACACCTTTGGTGTCACTCATAGAAAAGCTTTCTCCATCCCCAAAATATACAAATATTCCTCCATATTTTTCTTCTAGAAATTGTATAATTTGGTTTCTTACCTAAAAATCTTTAATTATCAGTAATTTATTTTGATGTAAAATATAAGGTATAAATCTATCTTTTTCTTTTTTCCTTGTAATTGGCCACGGACTCCAATATCACTTATTAAATAGTAGATTCTCTCCACACAAGTTGTATAATTCATCTTTAACATATACTAAATCATTAAATATACCTGTTTCTAGACTCTCTATTCTGCTATACTGTCCTGTCATATGTTACAAATACCACAACTTTTTAAAAGATTTTTATTAAAAATATAGTTAGCATACAATATTAGTGTCAGGTGTACACAATATTAATTCAACATTCAAATGTTATTCAAATTCAAATGAATTCAAATGTTATTCAACATTTATATACCTAAAGAAATGATCACCATGATCAGTCCAGCAATCATCTGACACCGTACCATACTATCACAATATTATTGACTTTATTCCCCATGCTGCACATCACATCCCCATGACTTATTTGTTTTATACCTGGAAATTTGGACCACTTATTACCCTTTACCTTTCCCCCCCTTTTAATTTTTCAGTTACAGTTCACATACAATATTATTTTATATTAATTTCAGGTGTACAGCATATGGTTAGACATTTATATAATTTAAGGAGTGATCCCCCCTGATTAGTTCAGTACCCAACTGGCACTATACATAGTTATTACCATATTATTGACTATATTTCCCATGCTTTACTTAACATCCCCATAGTTATTTTGTAATTATGAATTTGTACTTTTTAATACTTCACCTTTTCACTCTGTCCCCTAAACCTCTTCCCATCTATCACCCTGATAAATCTAGTACCCATTTGATACCATACATAGTTATTACAATATTAATGACTATAATCCTTATGCTATACCCTACATCCCCAGAACTACTTTGTATCAACCAATTGGTACTTCTTCATCCCTTCGCCCTTTTCACTCACACCCCCAACACCCCTTCCATCTGGCAACCATCAAAATGTACTCTGTATCTATGAGTCTGTTTCTGTTTTGTTTTGTTTATTTTGTCCTTCAGATTACACATATAAGCAAAAACACATTTCATCTGTCTTTCTGTCTCTGACACTCCACTCAGCACAATACCCTCCAGGTTCATCCATGCCACTGCAGATGCCATGAACCCATTCCCTTCCATGGCTGAGCAATATTCCATTGTATACATGTACCACCTCCTCTTTATCCATCCTTCTATCGACACATACCTAGGTTGCCTCCACATCTTGGCCATTGTAACCAATGCTGCAATGAACATATGGATGCACACGTCTCCTCAGAGTATCATTTGGATTTCTTTGGATAAATACCAGGAAGTGAGATTACTGGGTCCTTCTTTGTCTCTTGTTATAGCCTTTGTTTTAAAGTCTATTTTGTCTGGTATAAGTATTGCTGTCCCAGCTTTTGTTTGTTTGTTTATTTCCATTTTCATTAAATATTATTAAATAACTTTCCATTCCTTTACTTTGTCTGTGTGTATCTTTCAGTCTGAAGTGAGTCTCTTATAGGCAGCATAGTAAGGGCTTTGTTTTCTTATGCATTCAGGCACTCTGTGTTTCTGATTGGAGAATTTAATCCATTTACATTGAATGCAATTGATAGATATGTAGTTATTGCCATTTTATTTTTTTTTTAATCTTTTCTTTTCCCCTATGTTAAATAAGTCCCTCTAACAATTCTCATAATACTGGTTTGGTGGTAAAAAAACTCCTTTAGCTTTTATCTTGTCTGGGAAGCTCTTCACCTGTCCTTTGATTTTAAATGATAGCTTTGCTGGGTAGAGTAGTCTTGGTTGTAGGTCCTTGCTTTTCATCACTTTGAATACTTTGTGCCAATCTCTTCTGGCCTGCAAAGTTTTTGTTGAGAAATCAGCTGACAGTCTTCTGGGGGGCTCCCTTGTAGGTAACTAACTGCTTTTCCCTTGCAGCTTTTAGGATTCTCTCTTTGTCTTTAACCTTAGCCATTTGTATTACAATGTGTCTTGGTTTTGGCCTGTTTGGGCTTATTGGGGGGGGGGGGGCACTGCACTGAGCTTGTGTGTCTATTTCCTTCACCAGGTTAGGAAAGTCTTCAGTCATTATTTTTTCAAATAGGTTCTCAGTCTTTTGCTTTCTCTTTTCTCCTCCTGGTACTCTTTGATGCGAATGTTGTTATGTTTCATGTTGTCCCAGAGGTCTCGTAAACTCTCCTCATTTTTCTTTTTTTGGATTCTTTTTTTTTTCCCCCTGATTGGTTGTTGTCTACCACCTTGTCTTCCAAATCGCTGATTTGATCCTTTGCCTCTTCTAGTCTGCTGGTGATTCCTTCTAGTGTTATTGTATTCTTCACTTCTGACAGGTTCTTTTTTATAGTTTCTATGTCCTTTTTTATGCTTGCTATCTATTGAGGTTTTCACTAAGTTCCTTGATTATCATATAACCATTGTTTGGAACTCTGTATCTGGTAGGTTGCTTGACTCTATTTTATTTAGTTCTTTTTCTGGAGTTTTCTCCTGTTCTTTCATTTGGGATGTATTTCTTTGTGTCCTCATTTTGGCTGCTTCTCTGTGTTTGTTTCTATGCATTAGGTAGGGATGCTATGTCTCCCATCTTGCCTGGTTGCCTTATGTAGTAGGTGCCCTATGACACAGTCTCCCTGGTCCCCTGAGCTGGGTGTTCCAGGAGTGTCCTTTGTGTGGGTTGTGTATGCCCTCCTGTTGAACCTTGATTATTGTTGGCATGTCAGTGGGTGATATTGACCCTCAGGATGACTGGCTGTGGGGTTTGACCATGATCACAGCCTATAGGCTGCTGTGTGGGGAGCTTACCCCATGGAGCGGGATTTGCCCCAGCAGGCTCTGGTGCCTGTTGAGACCACCCTTTGTGTGTGCTGTTTGTGGGGCTAACTGGGTGGTGCTCTGCTGTGGTCTGAAGCCAACATTTAAGTATGTTGGTTCTGGGGCCTCTTGGGAGGGGTTCTGGTGCAGGTCCAGGTCAGCCACTACCTGTGCCTAGCCAGGGAGTACCTGGTAAGAGTAACAAGCAGTCTATTTGGTCATTGCCTATGCTATACCTAAAGGCACATGGGAGAGGTCATGCTGCAAACAAAGGACAGCTGCCACCAGTACCTGGTCTGGGATAGTCCCACAAAAAGCCAGGACACTCCCATGCCACTGATAAAGCCTCCAGCAGGTAGGAGTTGGGTGTGGCTGGATCACAGTGAGTCAGCAGGGTCAAGCAGCTCACAAGGCCAATCAGATTCAGATTTGGCCTGTGGGGGTGGGCTCAACACAGAAAAGATGGAGCCCACCTGATGGCTGCACAGCAGGAGGGCCCTACAGAGCGTCCCCCAACTCCAGTCTTCACTCTGAATTTACACAACTCAGTTTCTCACCATATGTCTCCTATGCCCCCCAAGTCACCATCCCTCCGCAGAAGCCCAGGGTGAGTGCCTGTGCAGTCCTTTTATGAGTATGTATGGGTTTCCAACAGCCTTCTGTCCCACCTGAACTTTCTGAATCCCCACTGTTTTCTACAGCTAGAAGTTGTGGGGGCTCCTTTTCTAGGCACCAGTATTCTGGGCTGGGGAGCCTGGTATGGTGCCTGGGATCCCTCACTCCTTCGTGGGAAATCTCTGTGGCCAAGATATCTCTTCCAATTTTCAACTGCCACACGTGGGTGTGGAACCAGCTTTTTTTTCCTCTCTGCCCCTCCTACCAGTCTCGACATGGCTTCTTCTTTATATTCTTAATTATAAAACTTCTGTTCAGCTAGACTTCAGATGTTTCTCCAGGTTGATTGTTCTATAATTTAGTTGTAATTTTGATATGTTCATGGGATGAGGTAAGCACAGCATTTATCTATTCTGCCTTCTTGGATCATCTTCCCAATACCACAACATTTTAATTATTGAAATTTTATAATAGATCTTAATTTCAGATAGAGAGAATTCCTTTACCTTTATTTTTCATTTATAGTTACTCTTATTTTTCAGTTTTCCTAAATCTTTACTCTTCTAGATGAACTTTAGAATTGTTGGGCAGATCTTCACAAAAATACTGCTTGCTTTGTATCAGGACTGCAATAAATTAATAGATTCATATGTAGAGAATTAGAGCCTCTTTACAATATTGATTCTTTCTATCTTAGAATTCAGTTTATCTTTCTATTTAGTCAAACCTTTTTCTTTCTATCAATAAAGTTTTGTTCTTCATATTCGTCTTAAATATTTCTCAAATTTGTTCTAAAGTATTTTGACTATTTGATAGCTATTGCCAATGGAATATTTTTCCATTGTTTTCTAACTAATTATTGTTTTGACTTTTTAATATTAATTCTATAACCTCTCATGGATTTTTAAATGTTAATATATATTCCAAAAGGAAATCCAACTACTGCTTCTTACAGAAAGATTACTTTATTAACTCTGAAAAAGAAGTTATTTTCTCTCTGACAAGAGTTTTACCTTTTTACAATAGATATACTTCCCTATCTATTATGGTAATAGATACCTATCTTAAATTGTGAAATTAATCATGAAAAAGACTCTTCACTGTTAATATTATGTAAATAATATTACATAAAATCCATTTCTATTGCTTACTACATGTTTTGGTTCACAATGTTCTTGCCAAAGACTATACCTTATATTTAGAGATTTTCACACATACACACACACACACACACACACACACACACACACACACACACAGATACACATACAGAGAGAGAGAGATACAGAAAATGTAACAGCAGTATTAATATAGAACATTTGAATATATGATGCAAAGAACTAGGTTATACCTAAATCATTTATACTTGATCTTCGAATTAATTATGAAAGTCTTATGTAGTGGATTTAGTCTCATAATTATGTTCAGATTATATTCCTTAAGAACATAGGATTGACAATAGGGAGAGGCAGTCCCAGTGGGAAAGCCAGTAAATTAATTAGCTCACAGAGGTATAATCAACAGATGTATAATTAAGTGCTACTTGTAGTTCTCTACCTACCTACAAAAACAATAGTGATTGATATGTCCACCATAAGTGTTCATTCACAGGGTTTGGGGTATTTTCCTATGGATTCTTGATAAACCTTGGAATAATTTAGTTGATTTAAATATTTCACCAGCAGGTAAGTAGTCAATAACCATACACTTAAATGACAAATTTAGAAGTAGCAATTTATTATCATTTTACTAAAATATTTTGACTATTCATTCCTATATTCATAGGTGATTTTAAAAACTTTTTAAACTTGTTTGTTGAGTAAATTCAAGGCAGAATTGTGAATCTGAATGCAAACTTCAGACCCCAACTCTCTTAATTCTTCATCATTCTGCTTTCAGTTTCACAGCTCAGTGTATTAATTAGCCCTTTCAAAGTTCATTATTCAATGAGCTATTGTCACCCTATTTTCATATGACAATTTTTAAAAGCACCACTGAAAATTTTAAGTGACACAAACATGACAAATAAAAGAGTTTTCAACAATTTCAAATGAAAATTGTGGCCAATTACTTCACACACCAAAACAATATACAGATTCCTCATTGAAGACCAAACCAAATTTGAGAGTCCAGATAACTATTGGGTTGCCGAAAAAGTCATGACATATTTTTTCTGTTTTTCATTGCAAAAATGCATCATGACTTTTCTGACAACCCAATAATTTGTTATATAGGTATAAAAACTACTGGTTTCCTGGAGAGAATGGAGAGATACTCTGATTTACAGCTCCATTCCCAAATCCCATGTGATGGAGGAGTAGAAGTTCCCCAGGGAAAAGAAGTCATCAAAAGGAGGAGGAAAGGATGCATGGCATAAAAAATAACAGAAGTCTATATCTGCTTTACTATTGGTATTACCTCATGAATAGCTTTTAGTGCAATTTAATATTCTTACACACCTATTTTCTGACTAAATAATATTATATTATATGGATAGATCATGTTTAATTTAGCCAGTTCCCTGTGATTGAACATACGTATTTTTTTTAATTTCTGTGCCCCTAGCACTTAAAATAAACACTATCACATAATAGGTACTTAATAAATATTTGTTGAATTTTTTAAATTATGGAATTTTAAGATTCAGCAGAGGAATGGGCATGCAGAAAAATTTCCAAAGTACTCAATTTTTTTGTTTTCTCCAATTAGACCCTAACAACCCTACTGTTAGTTTCCAGATAAATAAAATGCCTTAATTATTTACAGCCTAAGTAATTTAAAAAAAACTATAAAATAAATGTTCAAACTATAATAAGGTATAGAAAATTGGCTTATTTTTCCTGATTACCTGAGGTTGTACAACAGACTGACTTTTACTAAGGAGTTCAAGGATATTATTGCTTGAATATATTAATAAATTGCCTCTTCAGCTCTAAACATCCAAAGAAAAAGACTAATTTTCTGCTACTACCCAATAAAGCTACAGAAAGACACAGTCAACAAAGTCTAGAAGACCCACATTAATAGAACAGTTTGATCTTGGAAAATATTATAGAATTATCAGGGACAAAAATTCTATACAGGAAGTCAAATTTTTAGACACTAAAATAAGATATATATTAGTGGATGGAAAAGGAAAAGTAAGTCACTTTGGTTTAAATTTCAGCCTTCATTTTTCCACAGGGCATGCCAGCCCCAACGCAAGCCATGTTTGTATCCAGACAATAGCATAAGTCCTGTTGCCAATTTTCAGATTAGTCAAAATCTAAGATATATTGAAATAAGATCATAAACAGACAGATACATTATTTCAAAACTTAAGATCAGAAGCTGTCAGCCAATTACCAATTCTCTGTTTTCTAGTCTCAGCAACACCTGTCATAAAATTTTACACGTGTCATAAAATTTTGTTTAGTGGAGTGAAAAAACTGAATAACGTTTGACTATCAAAAACATCAAGGAAAAAAGGTGAGTGTGAGTGACTTGAAAAGGAAAGCAAAAGGTAGCAATACAGGAAAGAACAAAAATGTATGGTGCTTTCTTTGTTTTTTGTAATTGAACAGCATTAAAATATTATGCTTAGCCAGACTATTGATGCATCTACAAAGAACTTGTCAGTCATCATGTGAACAGAAAGGGTAAAATATCATGCTTTATTATTCCTTATAATTCCTTACAATAAAAATGACCACTACCTCCTAATCACAATTTATCCACAAAATACTCATTTTCCTTACCTTGTGACCTTGTCTTCCAGGCTCACCAATTTCTCCTTTAGCCCCTTTATGACCCTAACAAATGCAAAAATAAATAAATAAATACATAGACAAATTAAAAAAAGTTATATTGGGTTTGGCACAGAAAGTGCTCAGAAGGTTCCTAAAGTTATCTTGCTTCTCCAAATCTGTGCCAATGTGCTGCTAAGAAAAAGGTTATGTGACTACCCCAGGTGACCTTAGTAACACCATGTGTATTACATCACTGTTATATAAGAGAAATATCAGTTTTAGTTAATAGAAAAACATTAGTCTAGAATAACAAAGCTCCATTATGTTGCCTGGTTCAGCAACATAATGCATTGCCTACGGGTCCCTATATCCCTCCACCCCAAACTTCTTCTCACAGTTGGGTTAAGAGCATTAAGTCTTTTTCAGTAACTCACTTTCTGGAGGTGACAGCCCTGACCCAACTCAACTGGCTATTCCCTGCTCTGAAAACCCTTAAGCTCCTCTGTATCCACCTCCTTCCTAGAGGTAGAAGAAGGGACTTCCATAGATGTACAGCTTTCTGCCTCTTCTTGTACACAATCTTAAGTGCAAAGCGAAATTTCTAATGAACAGTCAGTGAAGGCTGCATAGCATGAAAAAAGATCCCTGTCTTTTCTTTTCAGGATACCTGTTCTAAGCATATGTGTGCTTTGGGCAATAGCATGTGGCAAATATGAAATGAACATTCCAAAATTAAGTCTATCAGAGCTTTCATTCTCAGAGCCTCTCTTGTTCTCCAAGAGTGAAAATCTTTGTGAAAAATAAGACACTAATCTAGGTGCAAATCTTCTGCAGTTGTGGGAATCCATCAAAACTAAACTGAGAGAACACAATAATTGGAAAACCAGTGTCTTGGGGCTTTTCAGATCACAGCAGAACTCCACTGGTCTGGAATTTTTCAAAATCATTTTAGACTCATAGACTAGAGAGAGAAAGCCATTTAACCCCAGCATCTGGTATTTATTTTTTCATGTCTAGGGGAAATTTAAAGTAATTATGATGGCAGAGTGAGGAAAAAAAAGAGACTTTTTGGAAAGTCTCTTTTCTTCCTTATTTTATACAGTGTCTTCTTTTTTTTTTTAAACTGGGACAGGTTCAAATACAATATGTGCACAATACCCTCCCCTTTGTAGGAAGCAAACATCTGAACTTAAATTTGGTGACTAAAGTCTCTCAATCTAATATATTTTATTGGTATTTCTTTCCTGAACAACAAAAGCGCTGTGTAATCAAATATCTGTGTCTCAGTAGGAAGACCTGTCAGGGCCACCAGCAGGCATTTCTAGGACTGAATAAGGACCACAGAATAAACAAATACAAACTTGCCTCATCCATCAAGTGGGGTCTCTGCGCCAGGAAGGCCGGTGCTTAAAGGAAAGGCTCTGTTTTTTCTATGGATAACACTCTTGAAAATAAAATACTGAAATTATTCTCTCACCCTCATGCCTGGTATGCCTGGATATCCTGAGCGACCTGGTGGACAGGAATTGGGACACTGCCAAAGAACAAGAGAGACAGAAAGTGCATAAACCAGCGTCTCCACTCTATGACAAAATGGTATAGTTTTTAGGGATTCCAGCTACAGAACCCCAATGCAATTATATTCATTAAATAACCCAGAACAACCGTTTCTTTTTTTAAAATTTTTTAAAATTTCACTTTAAATAGAAAATACAGAATATAAAAAACCTTTTCCCCCCATATCCACCATCCAGATTTAAGAAATGTTAATATTTTGCCATACTTATTTCATATTTAATTAATTAAAGAAATAAAATATTTCCAGACAACCGATTATACCACAGCCTGATGCTTTCCCCCTAATCCCCTTCCACTGGACTAGCTCTATCCTGAGGTTCACATCCCCTCATCAAAGGGGCCAAAATGGCATTTAGTGCAGTTTACCAACATCATTTGACTATTAATCTAGAAGTAGAACAAGTCTCAGGGAGAATTATTTGACTTTTTAAAATCGGGGCGCTCTGATGAAAAACATGCCTTAGTTATAAAGTAAAATGATTATGGAAAAGCAAAGATATTTCTATAATGAAAAATGGTTAGAGTCTGAATGTATACAAGCCACAAGTTCACTAGTGCTAATGATTGCTCTGCCATCTGAGGAAAGCAAATACAGAAATACCACATATTCCAGCAAGATAATTTTAAAGAGAATTTTTCTGAATGTCACATGTTCTTTGATTTAAAACTGTATTTTGTTCAAAGGAAAACATCTTACCAATGGGTCTCCATCATGAAAGCCAATTGTTCCCTAAAGTAAGAAAATATTCAAGTTAAGAATATAGCTAAATATTTCATTCAGATCTAATAATAGAATGTTCATTGGACAAAAATATAATACATATATGTGTTCAATAAAATATAAGGTACAAAGAGCAGCATATAATAAGCTAATATTCTAAAAACTTGGCTCATGGATGTATTTCTTTTGGAGAACCCCAAATTGCCGTAGATTCTGTCAGGATATTGAAGGGAGATTAAATGAGAGACAGAATAGAAAATATGGGGAACCTTGAATCATAAATTCAAAATATGAATTATCTTCTACATAACTCCTTTTTTAAAAAATTTCTTACTATGTAAATCCTTTGTAAAAACTAGTCCATTTGAAAATATTCCTTTTATACGTCCAAGTTTTAAGCATTTCAGAAATCATAAGCATCAAAAGACTCAAAATAATGAGTAAGCCATTCCCTGTGAAAACCACCTTTTAAGTTATTGTGATTCCTCTGCTTTTCTGGCCTAAAAAGGCCCATGTTCTGAATGGGTGAAATTTAAAAAAAAATGGTAGCTATTTTAGAATTTTAGAATGACTCAATTAACAGATATTTCCTTTTTTTGGTTCTTGCATTTCTTTAATCCTGACTCTCAGACAGAGAAACTCAAGCTGCAAATAACTTACACTGGGTCCCGGAGGGCCAGGAGGGCCAGGTGGTCCTCTTCTCCCAGGGTCACCCTAAATTATTTGAAAATTGTGACACAGTGGTTATACACATGTCAAAACACAGTGCATAAAACTGGTGAGGCATAAGAGAATGATATTACTAGAAATCCCTACAGAGCTCAGCCATGCATATAGACCTGCCACCAAAATCAATGGGTGGCCCATAATCTAATTAGCTCCACAAAACCAGAAGAATAAAGGAGTTCTAGTCTCACCAAAATAATAAAACAAGGCAGAGGGAGACTTGGGAGGGAAAGCTAAGCCAATTCTCTACAGAATGATAACTTTGTCTACCCTGAAAAGGAACCAGAAACATGACATATTTTTCTAGCTGATTTACAGGGGAACTGAACAGTCAATAAGGCTAGTGCCATTCACCTATTCATAGCAAAAGAAGGCTTGCACCCAGCACGAAACAGTGAAATGGAAGGTTAACCTCTGCAATGCCAGACTCTCCATTGTTCTAGTCACCCACAAGCTATCACTTGGTCTATCACTGCACTCTCTTGCAAGTGGGACAGAAGATCAAAGATGGCTAAATTCAACTAAGCCACTCAAATGAAAATGGATTCCAATTAGTCTTAATATCTGGAGCTTACTCCTGGCCTATGTTTTCATTCTTAATGTTCTACCATAAGAAGTCAAAAGCATCTTAGATTTAGTTTAACTTTACAATCATTTCACATTCATTCATTTGTTTAGTAAATAAATTTGTCAAACAGTAAGCATATATAGGAAGCAAGGAAGGTATATAATACTTGGCTCTTACTCTCAATGAGTTTATAATTATCTGTCTTTCACATAACATCACCACTTGAACATTTTTGAAATATTTATTGAATATTAACACCAAGCACTTATTACCAGCAGCTTCTTCTACAAAGTTCAGCTCTTTATTGCCTAAAGTTAAATTCTGTTGGTTCGATTATAATGTAATGATCCGAACATAAATATACATGGTAACAATTTTAGGCTATGCACTTTTCATTTCATGCAGAGAGTCTAATACAAAAGTCACTGGACCCCAATCCTGGATGAGTCTGTAAAATGGAAGTGATACTTCCTGACTTGATTACCAATTCTGGAAGTTGGGAAGAAATGTTTAGCTAAAAACTTTGGGAAAAATTAAAATCACTCTACAAAAATGAGGTAGCATTATTATCCCTGGTCCCCATCAATACTGTGATCTGGAATAAAATTCATAGGCCATGTTTTGGATTTGCAGAGAAAAACATACAGTTAGGGCAATTTGCCTTTCCTAGTAACATTGTCTTTTAAATCAGCAAATGTCTATCGAAAGGCACTGTGATACTCACAATTGGTCCAACACGGCCAAGCTCTCCAGGGAGACCTGCTGCCCCAGGGGGACCCTGAAGTCAACACATTAAAGGGATATGGTGATTCGTGAATGTTTTACCATTTACCACAAGTGATACCCAATATGATAAACCACTGACTTGAAATTATGTATCTGTGCTAGCTTTGGTTTCCAGTGAGACAATAACTCATTTGAACAAATTCTAATTACTTAAAATAGAACAGAAATGTCTTACATTAATAAAATATTTTGTTTATCATAGTAGGAGTGCTGTCTCAGCAGCCACCTAAGATCATGTAGGTGGAACGCTATAAACACCACTAGATAGAGGGTTAGCTGGAGAGAAAGGTTGGGATATGGGAAAGAGGCCATTTTTATAGGCTATGTAAAAATAAGCCAAGAGATGATACTCACAGGAGGTCCAGGAATACCACGGCCCTAAAAGATTAAAGTAAAAATTATTATGGTATCTGATTTATATTTAGTATAAACACAGTCCTAACTCAATTCAAAATGAAACTACAAACTCTAGCACTAAATAAATACATGAGGCTGATCCTAAAACAAGCACTGGATAAACAAAAGCAAACATAGCTCTACTTCTACAGGAAGCAGAAGCTTGTGTCAGCTCCTCAAACATACCTTTGATGTCTAAGCTAACCAGTAATACTTTTTCCAAATTTAAAAAAAAAATCAAAGTAAAGAAGTCATCCATGCTTGTCCTCAGGAGAACTTACCATTACTCACAAATAGGCATATCACAACCTGACAGTTTAAAGAGTTTTTCATTTTTATAAGAAACCTACATTAAAAACAATATAGTGAACTTATAACATGATGTTTGGATGTTTCTCTAAACAAATATTCAGCACAGAGAGGCAGGGGAGAAAAAGGGGTCCGAAACATACCCTCTTTGATAGGTTGGGTTATATTTCCAGACACCAAATCCAGTAGACATTAAAATTAAAATGGTGTCACTGCTGAAATGACCTATGATGGGATCCTAGTTTAATATGTTGAATTTGATTTGAAAGCTAGACATTCCTTCTCCCCCCTTTACACTTTATATCGTTTTAGCATCATCCAACTGTGTATAATTAAGGATTGAAACCACATCATATTCATCTAGCCAGCCTCAATTCCTAGCACAAGACCTAGTATATAATAAACCCTAACTATATGCTTATTGAACTTAATAAAACTGAACATCAACTGCATAGAACCCCACATTCTCTCTCTTTGCTTTCCATGTTGTTTCCCCCCTTGAAGTTCCCCATTACTCTTTTCTCTCCTATGTTGGTTTGAATAGCTTTTATTCACAGCTATCTCTGATACCATATTCACGTTAGCTATCATTCCAGACTTTCTTTTCTAAAATATCCATATGTGAAGCATTCGGTGGAATCAATGTACACCCTCTGATAATGATATTATTATTTCTAATTGTGTAGGCAGCCAAAATAAGCAATGATGTCACGTGAATAGTGTGTATTAATGATAAGTGGGGCTTTTTCAAGGCATCCTTTGAAAAATTGCTCCTACCTGAACATTTTAATATGTGGATCAATTTGGGAAATAAGTGTTATGCTTGAAAATACCAAAGTAATCAATGTTATTTCAGTATCAGAGACTAGAAGTTTGATAAATGTCACTGATTTTTTTTTAAGGCATCTCTATAAGATGTTGAGCTCTGAGTTGAAAAATCTGAGGGAAAGGCCAGCAAGCTGTTCACTTCTGGAAATAGGCTTTAATGGAAAAGTTGACAGTCACTGAAATACAGCAGAGAGAAGAGTACACTAGAAAACAAGGAGAAAAATACAGATTAATGACAAAAACAAAAGAGGAATAAAGAGCAAAATAGAAAGGAAAAGCAGCCTGAGCGCCTAGTCCTCTAACAGATAGAAATAACAAATCTGCCAGATAGTGCGATGTAGAAAAAGACTAGCCAGGGAATGAGAGTGATAATAACTGACGGCTGAGATTTCATTAGGGGAAAAAACCAGTTGTGAAGAAAGTGGTGTGATGCCATGGGCTAAACCTTGAATATTTCAATTTGCTCTTGTTATGCAAGAAATGTTTCCTCTCAATGGGGGTAGAGGGAGAGTTCTCTATTGGGAGATACCACCTGCAAATAGACATATGTATTTTTTACTGTATATTCAAATTTCTCTAATTTTTTTCTACTCATAGTGGGCATGCTTACCATACCAGCTAAGTCATAAACTTCCTAGTGATGTATATTATGTAGAAAATTGCATTTAGAATTTCGCAAGGGCAGAATTTTACCCAAAGATAGGATATTTTCAGTTCTGTCCTTGACGTTCACTTACAGGAAATCCACGAGATCCCGGCACACCAGGTTCTCCCTAAAAATAAAAATAGCTTCATTGTATTTAGCTTTTTTTAGAATAAATATGTAAATATGAAACTGCATAAATATTCAAATTATTTTAAAAACTCCATCTTGGTGTTTTTATTTTAATTTAAATCAACTATAACACAATTTTAGTTGAACAGTGTATTTCAGCTGCTTCGCAACTAATCTGTTAGTTGATTTGCAAATACTATAAAAAAAGTATACTCCAGCATTTAATTAAGATGAGCAATAAAACCAGAGAACTAACTTACTTTTTGTCCTCTTGGTCCAACAGAGCCAGGGGATCCGTCAGGTCCAGTTAATCCCTAACAAATAAGATGATGTTAGAACTATTATAGCATCCTTAGGCAAAACACTAAGTGGATAATTTCATTTTATTTATTATTTGCAAGATGGTTACCTATGTATGATGCAAATATTTATAAATACCTTTCTATATCCTTACTCAAAAGTACTGTTTAACATGTCATCAGTTACTTTCTATTGATAAATTTTATCATAGTCCTAACTTCCTGCTAATGGTATTGTTTATTATAGTGTTTTATATTGTAGTATTTTTGTCATTTCTTTGTAAAAATTCAATATAACAATTACAGTGTTCTAACAGGTAAATCTGATGGGACAAAAGGTCTTGGCTCCACCACTTACCCATGTTTATGTACCTCCTTTACTTCATTTATAAAGTAAAAATACTATATGTCTCTATAACTCTCTAATATATTTTTTAAAGCTATGAACTTTTTTTAAGGTTTTTTTTTTATTATTATTATTGGAGAATTAGAAGAGGGGAACAGCATTGGGAAATCGGGGAAGGGGAACTGTCAAGCTGCTATCCTTTTGTTCTTCAGTCTAGTTGTGGAGGACATCACTTCATTGGCCCACATTGGTGTTATCATTGCGCTCTTCCCGGATGAGGCAGTGGCTCACCGGCCACTCACAGTGGCTCATGGCAGCCCACTGCAGCCCCACTGCAGCCTATTCCATCGCCAGCCACTCACAGCAGCCCAGCTCCAAGTCAAGCTGTTCTTCACCATCTTAGCTGTAGAGGGTGCAGCATCACTGGCCCTCATGTGGGATCCAAACTGGGGCCTTGCTGCTCAGAGCTTGCACTCCCAATCCAACTCCTAACCAATGCACCACTCGGCCGTCCCTCTCTAATAATGTTTTGAGAGTTAATAAAATGTTTCTTCATGAGGAGTTAAAAATAATCAACCTCATTATTGCTTTACAGCCACCTAAAGTCCTCTAGCCATCTTCTAGTAATGACAATTGCCTATTTAAGAACGTTAACTTTTAAAGTTGAAACATTTGAGTACATGCATGTTTTTAAGTTATCTTCCTTACTAAAAACACCTACAATTAAGTATATATTTTCATGTGTGCCACTCCATGTATAGAATTTAAGCCAGTTACTATAAAATACATTTATAACTACCATTTAATATTAAAGCATATCTTTCAAACATTGTCATTTTTCCCTAACAGTACTTATTTTATAATCATTTTCAACGTAAAATAGATATTAAAGCATAACACTATATCTATACCTGAATTTCCATTTTGGTGAAGATGCATTTTTCTATTTTTAATTTTTTATTTACTCTAACACTTTTAGGTATTCTCATTTATAATATAATCTTGAAATTATACCTTGCTAAAGATAAATATGTTTATGTGTATCTGTATATATGTACATATATTTGGGTTGTCGGAAAAGTCATGATGCATTTTGGCAATGAAAAACATAGAAAAAATATGTCATGACTTTTCCAACAACCCAATACATACATGCATGCATACATAAATATCTTATAAAACCTATCTATTATCAAGATTTTGAAAAAGACTACAGTGATATTAACCAAGGGAAGGATTCCTTGAAAATATAAAATCCCTACTTAAAAATGGATCACCAAAATCCATATTTAAGCTGTCATAGTCTGCATAATTATCAATAAAATGCTTTCATGGAATTTGTATAGAAAATTAGTTCACTGGCCACCATTCTTACATTTCTTTATATCAATTAATTTGTCTCATAACTCCATAGAGTAAAGCAAAGAAAATAGAAAAAAGTGAGTTGAAAATGTTAATTACTGGAAATTTACCAAAGGTGAATGTTATTAAACACACACAAAATAATTTTTGACAGACTGTCTTTGATTTTCAATCACCCTAGTCTAAGTACAACACTAATTTTAGAGCAAGCCCCAACACCTTAGCTGCTGAACACCTCGAGTCATGAAACATTGGCTTTGGCATTTCAGCAAACAAACTGTACATCCAGGAGCACTCTCTAAAAGCACACCTGGCACATAGGTTTTGTAAACCTCAGGGCACGTTTGACTAATAGAATCTCTAATTCCTACTTCATAGGAATTGTGTCCTTTAAGACCAACCCTGGCCAGTTCCCCCACATGCAGCCCACTAACCTTCTTCAACCTGTGACTGGAAAAACTGACAAGATTGGAGGACAGTAGCCACAAAGCATATGGTAGAATTTCAGCTGCATAATATTAAAGCACAACCAACTAAATGGTTGGATAACCTGAAGGCTGCTTCCAGCTCACTTCTTATTTAGTATCTTCCATAGGATATGATAAAGTATCTCTGTCCCTAGGAAGGTCTTTGAATTACATTGAAAATACGTTCTGGTGTCAGATGTCAGGTGAACTCTGTTATGAAACAGCTATGTAGAAAATTATAAACTCCACGAGGACAAGGACTGGACTGCATGCTCATTCAGTCTTTGCACATTGTCCCTGGCATCTAGCACATGCTCAGTTCATGACTACTGAATAGGCTAGCCTGTCAGGTGTAGGGATATTACCCTTGTCCCTCCTCATCATCTTTATTTTTGGTTCATATCCCCGCTCTGCCACTTATTAGCTGTGCAACTATTGACAAGTTGCTTAACTATACAGTGCCTCAGTTTCCTAATCTGTAAATTGGGTATAATAATAATATCTACCTCATGTGGCAATTTTGAAGATTAAATGGGGTATTATGCACAAAGTGCTTACAACAGTGCCTGGCACAGTGAGCCCTGAATAAATGTTAGCTATTCTTATTATCATCATTCTTATATGGTCAGCTCTGTTCTAGATGCTGTGAAGAGTTCACATGAAGTATAAGACATACAGTAATACCTTGGTTTGCAAGCATAATTTGTTCCGGAAACAAACTACTCCTATTGTGAGACATCACTCGTTTACCACGTTAAAATGTATTAGAAATGTTTGCTTGTCTTACAGAACACTCGCAAACCATGCTACTCTCAATCCAAGGTTTTACTGTATTTCATGCCCTCTGAGAGCTTACAACCTCATTCAGAAAGCACACTGCATATAAACAAAAAAATCTAGATATTAAAACTACAGGCACCGTGCTTCATGGACCCCTCACATTTCTTTGATGCCTTACTATTTCCATTTACACTGACCTTTCAGAACAATTCCTTAATAACTCACTATTCTAATCATATAACATCTGCCAGTGATAATAGTTGTCTACATTCAAAAAATGTTCTAACCTGTTTCCTATAAAAAGTGGCATGGTTTAACTATACTTTCTATGTTTAACTCTAATTCTTCTTCTTCCTATGTTAAACAGATGCTGTAAGAATAAATAAAATACTGTTTTATGGAGCTTGCTGAGCATATCACAGCAAATAGCATCTAAGAATGCCTCTATTGATATTACTGATGATAATAATACAGTTGTGCTTTAGGTACAAGGTTATAACCAAGCTCCGACTTCTCTAATTTTACATGTCTATGAGGGAAAAGAAGTTAAACTAAAGGCTTAGCAAAAAACGAAAGATTTTATAAACATATATTTTTTCCCACATTTACATTCACACACATACTCAATTTCAGTTTGCAATAATTCTTATTTATTAAAGAAATGAAAGAGGAAAATGGGACCAGTGGCAGAAAGAATTGTTTTCATATGAATGTTTATGAAGAAAAAATTCTATATGGGATGATACTGAAGCTGACTGTGTGCTGAACTTTCACGCAGCTGTTTGGCGGGAACACCAGCCCTCAATATAATTTCCTTCCAACATTCCAATGACTCAGCTCGTGAGACTCAAGGCATAATTCTACAAACATAGCTGTCATGACTCTTTTACCTTTTCTGTCAAAAATCCACTTAACTTAATTACCGTTAAACCATGTTTCTTTCAGATTCTTCCAAACAGTATCTGATTAACCATTTGTTAACATCACCAAAGAGTACAGCTTTGCAATGAATCAAAGAGCAAACACAAAGAAGTTGGAGTTTAAGGTCCTATTACTACACTCACATTCACGTTTCAAGAAAAGATTACTGAAGCTTTCTTATTTACTTAGCTTCCTTATTTCCAGGAACAAACAAACAGCAAACTGATTTAGTCACTAGCATTTCATTATTCTCAATGTCTATTCTCAATTTCGTGTAAAAGATTTGTTTAAAATATCAAATGAGCCAAAGGCTGGAGTAAGAAAACTTTTCAGCTGAGAATCTTATTAAGTCCCATGTGGCTCCATTTAAAAAATTGGTGAACATGAGCATAGAAATATTTATAGATATTTATAAAATATCAATTATAAATTTTTTATTTCCATTGAATTACCCATATCATTTTTCTTGGTTGGTAATTCAGATACTAAAAATTCACTTTTAATTTTTTTCTCCCTATTTTCTCTAATTATTCTATTTAAAAATCTCATTTGTATCTGAATAGGGTAAAACTCTATGTAAAGAAGGTGAATCTAAACATCAAGAAATCTGGTTTCCTTCACTGTCTTAGCCACTAAATAACTGGGTCCGTGAGGAAACCACTTGCCCTCATAATTATTCAGTTTTCTAATCTGTGGAGAAAAATATTAGCCAAACCTGTTATCCAGGTTGTTTCAAGGTTAAAAGAAATAATGTTTGTGAAGGTGCTTTAGAAAAAAGTTTGTTCTACACAAATGCAAATTAGTATAGTTCATTTTTTGCTTAGTTCTAGGAAATGCCTACAGTACTGGCACATACATGGATTTGCTACTTTTTTCTCTCCTTCCTTTCTCCTTTTCTTTTTTCTTGCTTTCCTTCTCAGTCCCCGAGACTGATTCAATGCTCTCATTAGTTTGTCCCTGAGGACCTCCCAGGATCAAAGTTGTGTAAGAAGCCTTACTCTTTTATATTTTTTAACTTTGGAAACCTGGTTTGTTCTGCACTATGGTACTGCACTATAGACAAAGAAGAAAAATACTTGTAATCATTATTGCACATGTACTTTGGAATATTTTGAAAAACTTTCATTTGTTTACCCAAAATTTCTGTTTAAGTGGGGAAATTACTGTGTAAAGCAAAATCAGGCATTGTCTTCATGATCTTCTAGTAAAAGGTAAAAAATTTGCTGAGCACGCTACATAAGCATCATAAAACTAAGGCACAGAAAAGTCGAACCCCCTGTCTGAAATTATTGCAACTCAATAGTGAGACAAGACTTCAGGCGCTTCAACCACCATAAAAATTAATAATAATAATAATAATAATAATAATAATAACAATAATAATAATTTAATCATACATTTTCACACAAAACAGAAGTCAGGTCCAAGTTTCAAAGGAATGCAGAAACAAATCCAACCTATATTGGACTACTGGTTTATTTAATGGCCTTTTATTTATCAGACTTTTTTATTTTGTGACAATTTCAAGTCAGTCACATGTTTTTGAGAAGGGCTTGATAGCCAAGTTATATAATTTCAGTTTGGATTACCCAAATATTAGTCCTTATGGGCATCATTCACTGTCACTTTGCATAAATAGAAAGTTCAAACTAGGTACTTTGAAATGCAAAACAAAGCCTACTTCCTAAAGCATAAGTAGCATAGACAAGTACCTTCATTACAATAACCTTGATAAAGAAGGCACTCCTTAATAACTGCTAAAATCTAGCTATTTTTCATTTCGTAAAGCGAAGGATCTGTCTTAAACTCTAGCCAAAAATTCTTGGAAATTACAATAATGGGTTTTCAGGTGCTTTCTTTGATTTAGAAAAGTCTTTTATTTTGGGAAAGTAGATAAAGCGGTAAGTTGTTGAAGGATGACTTGGATGTACCACTGTCTGTTCTCTGAGAACAGATGCCACATCTTACTTCACTTTGTACCCCAGCAACTAAGTCAAGAACTGGCCTATACTGGGACCTCAATAAGAATTAGCTGAATGCATGGAGAGAGGAGATCCTGAGAGTCCTGAAGTCATTTTACTCTGAAGAAATATTACTTAGTGTTAGGTTTACCATGCAACTCAGTATCTGAGCTTTCCCCAGATGGGGGTAGGGGGTGTGGAGATGGTAAAATTGGGGAAAGGTTGCTGGTTCCCAGTCTTCAAGCAACCCTAGCCAGCTCATTTCTGTCAGTGATGCCAGCTAAGGAAACACCATGGAAAGAGAGAAAACTAGTTTTGAATTTCCTACTCCATGTATGCTGACCATTTCCCTGCCTATGCCTATCCCCACACACCCCCACTCACTTTAGGACCTCCCCTCAAGAGCAACTTTTTTCTCTTCCTTGGGATTTAGGAGTGCTCTGCCCCTTTCCCTGCCTGCAGGTTCTTTTTCTAAATGAATCTAGGGAGTGCCATTGAAAGGACAAAAGCAAAGACAACTTGCTGCCAAGCGCCCTCAGCACAAGCCAGTAGGATCCCTCCTCCCCCAGGCATGCCCTGTGTCCCAAAGTCCCCCAGCATCCCCTGTGCCCCAAAGTGGGCCTGAGAGCTCACCGGGTGAGCGGAGTGGACGGACTGAGGCAGGAAGCCCGTACCAGTACTGTTTTCTGAGAGGAGGAAATGCCAGTGCTGCCTGCTGTCCCCAGGGAGCCTGGAGGTATCACCACACTTGCAGGTCCCTTTGCAGAAAGCTGCAGCCTCCATGCCACCCACGCCAGGCGAATTCAGGGCCATTGCCCTGTTTCAGCGGGGTCTACCGCCCCCGCCCGGAGCATCCGTCTAACACATCTCCACTTCTCTCCCTTCCTCCCCTCTCTTCCCGCCCCCCCCCACACACACATACACACACAGCTGCTCATGCGAGCCTACTCACATCAGCACCTGGCGTGCCAGGCTTGCCCGGAGCTCCTGGCTTTCCCGGTTCTCCAGCAGGACCCTGAGCAGGGAAAGGGAGAGGCAGGAAGAGGAAAAGGTGCAAAGTTGAGTTTTTTGGACACACGTGGCTTTCCACGTATAAAAGAACGAAATGGAGTGCGACCATGCTAATCAACTTACCGGGGGGCCCGGGGGACCCTTTGGACCTCGGTCACCCTGGAGGGGTAGGAGAGAAGGCAACAGCAGTACATGAGTGGGAGGCGTTGGCAACCCTAAGGGGAGAATCCCACGCGTGTTCGCCACTCAGATCGGGGACAGGGTAAGCGTTAAATGGTGGATATTCACGACCCACGGGGACAACGGGACACTTCTACCTCCTCCCTCCGAAAAAAAAACCCCAGGCTTTTAAAATCCAAATCCCAGCTCTCACCCCGGGCCAATTCCTCCTTAGGGTGGAGGTATCTGTTTCTCTCAAAAGAAAAAAACCTCTCGAGCCGCTGGAGCACGGGTAGGACAAGGCAGGGTGGGAGGAAGAGAGGGGGCCGGACTGGAGAAACAGACTTACGTCTATGCCATCGATGCCTGGAACTCCAGGGGGCCCCGGAGGCCCCGGAGGCCCCTGTTCGCCCGGGGGACCTCTCTGACAAAAAGAGCACACGCGGGTTAGCGGAGCACGTTGGGCAACAAGGTGAAACTAGGCGTGATGTCCTGAGGCTCCCACCTCCAACCCGTAACGACACTCCCTGTGGAGGCTGGGTTTTTGAAATCCATTTAATAAATAGGTATCAAGCTTCCAAGAGAGCGCACGCAGGCTGTTTCGGCTCCGCCATATTCCAAATGAGGTTGAACTGGGGGGTTAAAAGCAGGATCTATGTCCCCAAAGTGGGGAGAGGGGTCACAGGACCGCACCTCTACAGAGTGCATTAAACCAAAAGGGGGTGGTAAAGAAAAGAGGCCTGCGGCCCCTTTTAAAAAGGGGTTCACTATTGAAAACGGTTGTCATTCGATACCTCGATGGAATCAGTAATTCCAAGTCAGTGTTTTGGCTAAAATGCAACAGCTAAGAATGGAGGTGCTCCACATCAGATTGATTACAGTATCGTTTTTGTAAATCTTTCTATGTCCAGTAGATATCTGGGGGAAATACTCTTGAGGAAAAGATTGGGGAGCGGTGGGGCAGAAGAGCCCTGAAACCCAGCGAGAGCCTGGCCTCATTTCAGATTGACCTTCGGTGACACTTTCTTGCATGAGGTCTTTGCACCTTGCTTCAGAACTGCACTAAATCTCAGACTGACCCTAGGGGATGACCCCTTTTATTGCTTGCTAAGAGCTAAGCTTTGACAGTGCTGGAAGGACTGGTGGCGTCTGAAATAGTGTGAGCATGTTGCTTAGGGAATGTGGGCTTTTTCTCCCCTTCTGAATTTAAAAAAAGGAAAGAAAAAAAAGCTTCTTTCATCAAGGAAAACTTTGTTTTTCTAACTCCAATGACCAGACAGGTTACAATGGGGTCTTTGTAAGTGAAACCTCAAACCGCGGCTGGGCTCACCGCCCCCGCCGTGTCCTCTCCGGCTCGGGAGGGAGGAGACGCCGGAGCCTTTGGGAAGTTGCTGAAATTTTGATGGGAGCCAAGCCTGCCCGATTCCAATGCCCGAGCTGCGGGAACCGCTACCAGGACGTGTGTTTTAGTGCTGCCACCACGGTGTGGACGAGAGGGAGAGAGAACTTGAGCGCAGCTAGCCTCAATTCCCGCCTTCTCTCGCCTCCTGCTTTTTTGACTGTGACCAGGAAAGGGGGAGGGCAGGCAAGAAGCAGCCATGCTAAAAAATTAAGCCCGGGTCTCGAGACACCATGGCCTTCAGCGCACGAGCCTGCAGTGTTAGGGCCCAGGTGGGGACAGGAGGAGGCTCCCTCTCCTGGACCGAGGGGTCATCTAGGGCTCCCGACTCCCACGGTGCTTGCTGCAGTTGTTTCGGGCTGGAGGGAGCGTGCAGCCCCAGAGCCCTGGGAATGCTCCACCTTCCCCACGGCTCCCCAGACGGCTGTGCCCCCACCTTTCCCTGTGTGCTCTTGAAACATGCAAACACTTCTCGCCCCCAGCTTACCTGATCAAGGGTCTGGCTGGGCTGGAGAAGTAAAGATGGGAAGAAAGTGAGAGGCCTCCCCCCCACCCCCCATCTCCAACTCGCGCACAACTTACTTGAGCCGCACACAGGCAGAGCCCTGACAGCAGCAGTCGCAGCCCAAGGGCTCCGTGGTCCCGCGCGGTCCAGGCCATGCCCTCCGCCCTCTGCTAATCCCCGGGGTCCACTGGGCCTCCTACCGCCCGGCTAAGCTTCCGGACCCGCCACGCGCATGAAGCGGCACTTACTCCCCTCCAAAAGTGCCCCCAGGAGTAGTGGTTGCAAAGGTGCCCCGGCCAGGGAGGCGTAAGTTCCTCCTGTTTATGAATGGCCCTGGAGAGGGTCCTGGGGATTGGAGGATAGCTTGCGGGGCCGGGAGGACGGATAAAATGACAACAGTCTCTCTTAACCCTTTCCCCGCGGCCTGAGTGCTCGGCTCTGCCTCTGCCCGCCCTAGTGCAGGCTCTCGCAGTCCTCAGAGCCTCCTCCGGTCACCTGTGTGCCCTTGGGGGCTGCGAGTTGACGTACTGCAGGGATGTTTTGGAGGGGAGTAGGGAGGGTCGTAAGCCACCAAAGGTAGACCCGGACACCCGGGGCTTATTTCTACCCATCAGAATGTTGGGGGGACCAGTTCTTCCTTCATATTCACCTTGTCTGTACAGCAAAGCCTGGACTTTTTGGAGAAAGGGTGGGGAGGTAGGGTAGGGGAAGTCAGCTGGGTGGAAGTGGCCTTTGCAGGTGGTCAAGGGACTCACCGTTATCCTGACTGGCAGCTCATGGCAAGTCTCTCTGCTGGGCCGCAGTGGGTCACAATGTATCAACATCCATTGAAGTTCAAACTGGACAAAAACAGCGGACAGTCAGTGAGGAACTTTTGGAGGACAGAAGCAAGTCATTTAAGACCGCGATGAGTTTGTTTGTAAGTGTGGTCCAGTTGCTAAGCGACTGGAGACCAACTTGAACTGGTTGATCTCTGGACCAGGACTTTTGTTGTTCCTTGAATATAAATTTCCACTGGAAATGGGCTGGAAGCCCTTCCCAGGTTTCTCTGATCATTGGATGCAGATGTCTTTAGCTCTGGGTTACTCCAGGATAGCCCTAGACAGGAAGCAGATCACTGGCACTGACTTTGTGTTTCTATCCTCATCACAGCCTCAAGAAGTGATTCTATTAAAATGAATCTCAGAGAGAACAAGGAACTGTCAATAAATGTCAGAGTCTGGATAGGAACCCAGGCGGATTGAAATCCACAGAGAACATTTGCGCTAAGAGCTTACATGGGAGAAGATTAGAGACAGAGGTACCCAAAGAGGTGGCACCCAGGAATAAAGTAAAGGGAAAAAAATCTGGTCCTGGAATAATGTGCATGCTAGAGAAGTCATTCTTCATGGAGTGGTCACAGCTTAAAAAGGAAATAGGAACTACCAGAAATGGTGGGAGTGAGAGGGAAATCTAGGAGTCAGGGGAAAAACAAAATAATAAAAAATATTTCAATTTGGTATAATCTTATCCATTGGTTGAAGAGATATAACATTTTTAGACACTTGAAATCCAAATATATCCTGACAACTCCTTACATTTTAGCAGGTTCAAAGGGAGAAAGGAGAGGGGAACAGGAAAAATAAACAAAACAAACAAACAAAAAAATGCATAACAGAAAGAGTGGCCAGTTCTGAATCTGAAAGCCTCAGGTGACAAGATTTTAAAATATATATGTACCCTAAAGGAAGCCTGCCACAATGTGCCTTGCTGGCCCCTCTTAAATAGAGAAAGTTCCTTGCTAGGCACCTCAAATCAGATCCATATTTCTTGGTAAGCTGATTCTCCTGGCATTATGCAAATGTCTACTTAAGTATCCAGGTCCCAAATCTAAACACTATCTCTCTTCTTTCATCCAATAGTGAGTTGCACTCCATCCCACCTGCCAAATGGACTTTAGGTCTGCTGGATCTAGATTTAAATTAGATACTTCCCCCCCCCCCAATGTTATGGAAATGTCCAGAATTAAAGTTACTGGATGGAAAATCAAAATTGGAGAGGACAGACAATGAAATCTTTCCCTTCTACCTATACTGAAGGGAAATTTAAATAAAAGGAAGTTTCCTATTTTATAAAAGGGTCAAAATAATACATTAAACTTTCACATTCTTACATTGACACCTTTTCTCACATGATTCTAACTGTCCTAAAGTTCTTCTCTATCTCCATTGTTCTTGCTTCTCTCAAATTACCATGCCTTTTCTTCAGAAAATGTGGGCATCTGGAAAAAGGAGTTAAGTGGGATGAAAAGAAAGTGAGCAGCTAAATCATAAAATATCTTGAGATGGAAATTTATCTATGAATTGTATGAAAATTATCTGTGTCTTCGTGGTGTGAATTATTTAAGACCAGAATACTGACATCCTATAAAAGAACTGCTTTCCAGACTACACAAGGTCTTGCAAGTAAGAAAATTACTTTAATCAAACCCTATTTTTATTAGAATAATCCTGTTTGCTTGGAAGAGCTTTTATTTTGGTTTTGTTCTAAACTGCAGTGGAAATTTTAAAAGGAAGATAAAGGAAAGAATGGAACACCCTTGTCCTTAATGAATACCAAATACCTAGCAGAGCCTCAAACAACTCTTTGAAGCAGATCACACATGGCTAAGAGAGGTTAAATCATTTGCCACAGGACAGACAGCTAGTAAAAGACAGAGCTAGCCTTCCAAATGTGCCTGAGTCTAAAATAAGGCTTTCTCTACTTTCCTACTCAGCCTCCCCAAAGAATACAGGATGAGTTAGAATGTTCTAAGGGGGTAACCAATGGTGATTGAACATTTGTATTAAAGATAAATAGAAGTTATCTAGAAATTAAAACCTGTAAGATTGTTTTCCAATGTCTGCTAAAAAGCTTCAGGATTAGATTAAGAAACTTCCATAAGAATTCAAACTTTTCCCTATTTGCATGCTTGTTACAGAAATATATCCAGAAGCAAAATTTCTAGCATCCAAAAACCGACAGCTATTTCTTTATGCAGCTATGTATTCATGTGTATAACAAAATATCACATAGGAAAGAGAATTATAAATTTTTTCCTCGATGATCAGATAAAAAAATATTACCAGAATAAGCAAAGATGTCTCCCCACTCCCTAACTCTCAAAATAAGAGAGACCACTCATATGATTTTATTCACGAAGTCCTTTGTAAACTGGTAACTCAAACTAGGTTTGGATTGTATGTGTGACATTTTAATTCTCAAAAATAGTTCCTACCTTAATCACCCTGAGAAACATTAATTATATGGCTAACCAAGAGACCTATATTCTTTGTTTAGATAGATCATTAAAGTTACTTATTGCAAATGCAAAGTGATTCATTAAGCTGTTTTCTCAAAAGAGTAATTCTCTCTGGATAACCCGCTACAACTGTTTAAATATGTGAGATGCAATTGTGGCACAGGATAATGAGGGAATGAAATGTAATTCCTCTATGAATACAGGCTGGGCTGCTCAGGGTGTGACATAGATCAGAGGTTTCTGAACACATCTGTGCATCCACATAAACACCACCTACATACTAATAATCATCTACACAACAACCATTTTTTGGCATGCAATATGAATTCCAATTTGCATGTTAATTACTTTCAAGGAAGATTGGCAGAGTTCCTTTGTAAAAGTCACTTTCATTATACATCTAACATGCTGATTTCCACATGTCCCTCATTTTCATACCTGGAATCATGCTTTTCTTTGAATATGCACTGACATAACATATTTGACAAGTATTTTAATTTAGTCCTCAGTAAACATTTTTGAAGTCCCAATATAAGTGAATCACTAAGGGAAACCAAAGATACTCTCTCCTCCTACAAGGAGTTTACAAGTTGTAACACTAGAGAAAAAATACAAGTAGAGAAACAAAAAGGTTTAAAAAAAAAGTCTGTTAAAACATACAATGCCCTAGCACAACCCAACCTTCTCAACATAAAATACTTCACCATTGTCTCAGAGAAGGCTGAGTTGTGTGAGGGGCGGTAGATGCCTTACATTCGCTCAGATTGACATTATCCAGCTCTTTTTTAGAAAAAACTAAGATATAATTCCTTTCCCTAAGCTAGAATAGTGTCCAGCTGACAACACATTAAAACAAGCAATTTTGTCCCCAACTCTCTACTCTTTTAATAGGACTAGTGATTTCTAGTTATTTTGTTAGGTTTGTTGATAAATATAAATAAGTTATTTAAGCCCTTCATAAGAACTAAACAAAGAGCAGACAACCAACTTTTCCTCCTGAGAGATAATTCTAATGACAAACTATGGAACTTGGCTCAATATTAATAGGAATGACACAAGGCTTGATTTTTTGCAAACTCAATTATGTTTCATTAAGCTTTTGTCTACTCAGCAACCACAAATATTTAAAGAAATACTTGAATTCTCATATCTTATTCTTCTTTTATGACAAAATGTTGGTTTCTATCATCATGAAAGACCTCCTCCCCATCAAGCTTCATGATTGCTGAGCAGAAGACTCTCAACTACCTTGAAAACAGAAAATTTCCCAACTCTATGTAACCTGGGCCATGCAGTTTCAGACACAGTGCTAGAAATTGTACTTATGTATAAGTAGGTGACAATCACCTGAATTGTACCAAAGGCAGAGGCAGAATGGTGAAAGGAAAGAGCAGGAGGCTTGGAGTTAGCAGAGTTGGCATGTAGTAATTTATTCATTTTTTTATTCATGTGCTTTGATATTAATGCAAAAGACACAAAAATGTTTAGTATACAGGGTAGTCGCTAGCCAAAAAAATGCTTTGACAATAAATACTATTGCAGTTGATATGTGATATGGCTAAGGTCATCAACAAGGGAAGCATACAGCATGCCAAATGTGAGTAGGACCCTGAAGAGCAATTGAGATTTTCATAAGCAGATATGGGGAGGGCAACAGAGTTCTGAAAACAGGACGTGACAAGAACAAAGCATAAGGGTGGAAAGTGATGTACAGAGAAGAGACCAGATTTGCTATCGCAGAGTAGATATCAGATTTCCACCCTTTGAATTCTGAGCTAAGAAATTTAAATATTTGGGCGTAGCTAATTATTGGATTGATAGCAAAGAATTTTCTGCAACAGGGATAAGAATGGAGAAAGGTGGCCTGGTGTAAAAGAGCATTTCAAGGAGATTCACGTGGTAATAAAAGCCTGATCCTTTAAGGCAGAAGCCATCTACTGTAGTAGAACATCAAGAAGTGCTTCACTCAGGATGATGGTAAGCCATGCTGAGTTATGTGCCCACTTAAAATCAATCCTCCCCTCATGCCACATCCCTCTTCAGCTGCCATCCTGTTTCCTGTTCCCCTTCATACAAAACTCAAAATGATCATCTATATTTATTGCCTCCAATTCCTCTCCCTCCCATTCTCTCTTGAACACTTTCCAACTTGGCTATTATTCCCTCTACTCCAATGGGTTTTTTCTCAAGATCACCCTCAATGGTTTCTAAATCCAATGGTCAGCTCTCAGTCCTCATATTATTTGATTTATCTACAGCATTTGAGTGGATGGACTATTCCATCCTCGTTGAAATATTGGGTTGTCGGAAAAGTCATGACATACTTTTTCTATGTTTTTCAAAGGTCATTTATTTATATAAAGAACAAAGATCAACCAATGATATATTGCCTGTTTTGTTCAATAACCTTTTGCCATCTTTCAGTGAGCTTTATAATTCCTTATTCATAAAAGGACCTGTCTTTATCTGCAAAAAACTGAACAAGGTGCTGATTTACAGCCTCATCTGAATTAAACATTATACCATGCAAGGAGTTTGAAGACAGCGAAACAAGTGGAA